AAAATATCAATCTCAATTTTCCTGTTTAACTATTGTAGATTTCAATATCGAGTACACGGACCATGAGTGTTGAGTGCTTTTTATTCTGAGCATCATTATGACTTTTTCACTTCTTCCTAAAATTCTCACAAAATCTGACCAATCAAAAAACAAAAGTCAACTTATATCATCGCGAAAACCTAGTTGTCTTTTAATTCTGATTGGTCTATCAGCGTTGTTTCCAACGATGTAACCATGGAAAGCAGAGCGAAATTCGTTAGTTTGACATAAGATAAATATAGGTGCAGATGTCAGAATAGATCGCTCTGGTTATGCTTGTTCAAATTCATAATGAATGCTTCTCATGATTCGTGAAATGGTCGACCACTCTGTTGTGATGGAATGTTTCTGACCAGCTTCATTACTAGACTGGTTTTGATTAATAGAGACTGATTCTAGTTGAATTCCACTTGTTTCACAAGCTCGATGCTTGAAAACCTGAGAGACCTGAGTAATTCATTGATTCCTGACTTTCCGAAACTTTTCCTGATAGTAAACTCTGATGAACATCATTATAACCCTAAAGACTTCTTTTATATTTTTCAACCCTTTGCTTACGATATGAAATTTGGATAAATTTTTCATCAGTTGGAATGATGGATGTTTACCTTGTCCATAGTGAAAGGAGAAGATGGTGTGCTCAACAGAAAGCTCAAACTCGTTGTCTTCTGCGCATGTTTTTCAGCTGGGATATATTTGTCATTGTTATTATTCGTTTTCGTGATTGATGTCTAAAATTTCAGATATTATATAAGTACTATAATTGAATGAAATAATTTCGAAATACCTACTTGTTTCTGGTTGTGGAAATTCCAACTAACATACAAAAGGCACAGATATTGGATTTTTTTGTTTTTCCAAGAATGGAGACCTATGAAACGATGGGAGCTTGCTGCCGACAGAATATAAACTCAAATTATGGTACCTACCTTTCATTCCTTATATCCTAATTCCGAAGTATTCACTCATCATATTATCATCACATTCAAATTACAGCAAGTATTTCTTTAAAACATTTCCATGCAAAATGTTCCCAAACAAGTGCAAAAGTACGGTTCTTGAATTATACACCTCCGAAAAATCACTAATATTTGAAACAAGGTGCCATTCCTACAGAACATCTTCCGAATATCAAGTCAGAAATAATTGAAAATGAATTCAAAACTATTAATTTCTCACAAAATATAAATTGCAGCAAAGATTTGAATAACGAAACGGCAAAAATTGATACTCCTGTTGTCGATGTCGGAGCAGAATCAACGTCAACGTCGTTAACTGCTGAATTTTAGTCTGTCAGAATCGACACAGTAGTGGATCATTCAGATGGGAGGTTTATGTTGAGTGTTCGAATCTCAAGATATTGGCTGATGATGGATTTTTCGAATGGGACACGCAGTATATCATTGCATTCCAAGGTTTTTCCTGAAGAGCCGATTTCATCTATCCATCAAACTTGGGGTCTAGCAGAAATGATTACAGAGGTAAAGAATGTTCAATAACAAGATTTTCCAATCTTTGGTTTTTCATTTGTCAAAACTATCAATTATTGGTCAAAACGACCCACATGTCCTTATCTCAACTCTTGATTTGGAATAAATTCGAAATGGTTTAAAATTCAGAATTCTGATCACCCTGTTGTATTTGTTCCAATTGAATGTCAATAGATTGTGAGTTGAATGTTGAGTAGGGGAGAAGTTAGCAGTTTTTACCAATAATAATAATAATAAAGGTCTTTATTAAAATTTATATATTTATAATATAAAAGATAGGGCGAGGTTCAATTCATTCTAGAATCCTGAATGGAGTCTGAAATGTCCCAGCAAACAGATAGACATCTACGAGGAACAATAAGGGAATTGAGGAGAAAAAAAAAACACTTTGTATGTAATTATTGGTTAAAGACTCTACATATTCAAAACTATAGCAACTATCGACGACTTAGTAACCATTCGTGTAATCTCGATCTGAATGCACTTGCACTAGCAGTGAAGCACTTTTTTCTTGATGGTATCTCATTGTGAATTTTGATGATACTGTTAAATTATGAGCGTTGGAAGTGAGTACTTTTATGTAGGGATACTGTTAAGATTCCTTCAGACCTGATATGGAGGTTATAAACATCTCTGTTATCATTCCTGCTAGATCCCAAGTCTGTATTGTATGTATTGATCAGATCAGCCCTTCAAGATCAATCTGAAAATGCAGTAATACACAGGGTATTCATTGAAAAACACTCATCATCAGCCGATATCTTCGAATTCGAACACCCTCTAGATATGGAATTGATATCATTGATGGTTTTCATGAATCCCTATAACCGTTGTGCTCGAATTTTTTCAATATATCTGAAGGTTTGGCTTATATCGAAGGACAACACACTTTTGAATCGTCCTGTAGATTGGATTTGCATATTCATTTTTTTGTGTGAATCAATAAATGAGATTGAATGTCTCACTTCTGTACACTCGAAAGATGACATTATTCAAATTTCCTCGAAAACTGGCAATGAAAAGGATTCAGATTTTATTGCACATTCTGTAGAACATATCAAAATTGCTCGATAAGTTGAGTTTACGAATGACAAAAAATTTACTTTGTTGGGACGTCTTTATGACCTCTAGTAATTAACGTCAATATGACGTCATGAAACATGACGTCATTTTTAGGTCTCTCTGAAGTCGAGGACGTCATGGACCAATAACCATTTCACTTTCAGTGCTATCTGGGTATTTGAAAGCCGTAAAGAAAAAATCCTTCGAAAGTTGATGACACTTTTTTCTGATGAATGTTTATGGAAAATCCAATTCTTTCTAACTTCGGAAGTTTCGGAAGAGAATCTGCCCCCATTTTGAACATGAAAATGAGGAATTTTATTGTTGCAACTGATGTTCTGTTTTTTTTTTTCTCGCCTTTCGACTTTTGACACTTCTCTTCGACAGAAGTTATACGTTCATTCTTTCATTCTGAAGATTTTTTTTAACAACGTGACACTGGCTATGGAGGAAAGTTCTCTTTCAGATTTTGCAAACACAATGTAATTTTGCCCTAACTACAAGGAAATTGAAATGACGAAAAAAGAAAATCTCATGAATCTATAAAAAATAATATACGACTCCTTGATCAACCTACTGACATTCAACAAATGATATGCTTTGAAATCCAGGAAACACTTTTGGAATTTGAATCACAATTATGGAAAGTGGAATGATAGATCTGCAATCTTGACGCTTTCAAAACAGTCCCTTAATTTTCCTGTGGAATGAATCTTTAGGCATTCATCATAAAGTTTATTCGGAATTGTAAGAACTTCCTGATCAACTGATGATTTGGATAGGAGTTTTCTGAGAATTTGAGGCACTTGATATTTTGTCAAGGGTCCACGCACGCACTTTTCATTTGATTTCCTCGGAAACGAAGCAAAATACAAGAATGATTCATCAGGTGCATTCTGGAGAACTGAACTTGGAAAAATACAAACCACCGATCAGTTTATGCATTTCATGGAAAGATCACACCAATTCTCATTGAAATTGAAATATATGTTCGGAGGGAAAGTTGATCATCTTGGTATTGAGATGAGTATTCATGAACCAACTTCAGAGTATTTTTGGATGTATGACAAACTGATATTCATCATGAAGCACGTGAAAAAATTTTCATATTGGAAAAATTCAATCACAAATCGACACTTAGAGGTCTATAAAAATAATTAGTTCTCAAGTTCGAACCCTTTGATCAAGTATAAGAGTATTGGGAAAAAATATTCTTAGATATATTAATTATGAACATGAAAAGATGGATATATTATATACAAATGAATAATAACATCTAGAATTCGCATTCTCTATGTGATGGTAGTATGCATTCATCCACGGTATATTCAACAGAAAACAACTACTTTCCTGGCTATATGCCACGACAAACATTGAATTATATATTTTTTTTCATTGCTTGGGGCGCGCGAAAGAAAATCCCTATAATGTTCAAAGAACACACGATAAGAATTTGGAATTGAAATATTCTGATGTTGAGAAATTGGATCCACCTCGAGATGTACATAATATCAACCATACGAAAAACAATTAGTGTTCTGACTATCTGCCACGATGAATAGAGGATTTTCATTTCGATATCATTTTGGATTTTCAAAAAATATAATTCAATGTTCGACTGTTGAATATTCAGAATAACATTATGTACATATCCATCTTAGGGAGAATGCGAATTCTCAACTTCAGAAGATTTCATTCTCAAAATCTAATAGTCTGTGTATCACAGATGAAATCCATTGTTCGTCCTGGCATATAGCCAAGAAAGTATTGGAGAAGATTCATTGATGTTCTCGTTTATGAATATATAATATATAATATATCCATATTTTTATGTCCATATTACATTTGAGAATATTGCTTTTCAATATATTTGAAGTGTATCTCCGAGGAACATACAACAATACAGATCAAAGGTCATTGGCGCAAATACTTTTCATCAGAGAATTTTGAAACACCTCATATATCAAAAACAGTAAAAAACTTCGAAATTGACGACGTCTATTCAAATCGACAAGAATATTCTTCTAAGTAGAGTGGATTGTCTGTGTTTCATGACCTAACATGTGGAATATAAAAAACGATCAAAATGTCAAAATCGATGCAACTATTGATAGATAGTTAATGATGCGAAGTAGATGAACTTCTGCTCTGGAAGCTCAAACTGTCTCATAATGGAATGATTGAGAAAAGATATTGAAACAACCTGATATGAAAGACATACCTATAATGTTATAACCCAATCAATATACTTATATATAATTTCATCAATTTCTACAATATCTTACAAGTTCGTCGAGTACAAAATAGCTGAGACATATAAAATAGAATTCACGTTTATCACAAGCGCACGTCTCAAGTGACGGAAGTCTCGTAGAGCATCGCGCGCTCTCCATCTGCTTCCTCCAGACGTCACCACAAATCGGAAATAGTCGGCAAGCTAGTCACCTCGATGTCTTCCTGCCGATAAGACCTCCTGTTCCTGACGAACCTCACCGCCAACGTCGCTACGCATGCCACCGCCACCGCCACCCCAACCGCTAAAATCAGCAATCCAGGATGCAGGAGCAGCCTGTCACTCCCTTTGTCGTTGGTGTACTTTGACATCTCTCCTGCGGGCACGTCTTCCTGCGGTGCCAGATCGATCGACCGTTCGCTAGCCGTCTTCGACTCTCCATTTCGTTTTTCTGCGCCGACAGGGTCATTAAAAGTCTCTTCTTCGTGGGCGATGAATAAATCTCTAGACGGCAAGCCGAGTTGATGCGCCCTATTACTTCGGACCGTCTCATTAGCATTTTGAGTTGACAGCTCGCCAAGTTCTAAGGGAGTCGAAGTTTCGGTAATTGTTACTTTACCTGTCTCATTAATACCGTTCAGCATCTTGTCGACCATATTTGATGCCTGCACCGCCTTATTTTTGAATAAATCGTTCTGCTGAGGCACCGCAACGATCCTTTTCGATATTGTTTTCCATGAACGTCTTTCCGCGACTTGCGGGCTCTTCGTCACGTCATCCACAGTAGTTGATTCCTCCACTTGAATATCAATTAAGGGAATGCCCCACATCTGCGGAGGACTCGCGCATAAAACGTCTCTATATTCGTGTTCATCCAGTCGTCTCAACCACGTCCCTAGCCAATGTAATTGGGAACAGTTCAGCCGGTTCCGTTTAATATGCAGTGTGCGTAATTGAGGCAGGAAATGTAGCAAATCCGATCGAACGGACTCCAAATTCGTCCCAGACACGTCGAGTTCTTGCAACTGTTTGGAAGCGGCCAGGGTAGCTGTGTCGGCCAGCAGTTGTCTGGCCAGTCCCGGACTGTCCGATAAATCCAAAGTCACCAAACGGTCGGGGGTGGACAGTGGAAAATTATTATCTCCGCTAGGAGAGACGACTCGCATGAAAGACAGTCGGAGCACTTGTAGAGCGCGAGGGCCAGTGAGGCTACCGGGTGGCAAGATGACGAGTGGATTCCTAGATAAATCCAGAGACGCCAAGGAAACGGACTGGCCAAAAGCACCCTCTTCTATCATGCTAATTTTATTGTCGCTGAGCGCAAGCACTTCCAGATCTGCTAGTCCCTGGAGATCCCTGCACGACACTTTCTCAATCTCGTTGTGCTCGAGGTGAAGAGCTTTCAGATTCTCTGGAAGGCTTCTCGGCACCTCGCATATATTATTGTCAGTAAGATAGAGAACAGCTAGCGACTCCAGACGTCCCAGAGCGTCTTCTTCCACCGCATCCAATTCATTCCCAGTCAAATCTAGCAGCTGCAGCAGCGGGTAGGAGTCCAAGTCCCCGCAGTTCACCGATCGAATTCCATTGTCTGCCAAGCGTAGAGAGCGTATGGAAGGCGTCAAAGCAGCGGGCACCTGTTTGAGTCCTGTTCGTGCTGCGTCAACGGTCTGTAATTTGCGACCCGTCCCGACCAACACAGCAGCATCGCGTGCCTTTCCTAATTGCGTGTTACCGGTGAGCAACAGACGGGTAAGGCAGGGCAGCTGTAGTGAGCCAGGGTCCACTTGCGACAGTATATTCCAGGATAGGTCTAGTTGTTGCAGTTGCACTAATCCCACGAAGCTCGTGTCATTGAGCACTCTCAAGTGGTTATTACTCAGGTTCAAATATTGAAGCGATGATAAATCGTGAAACGAACTGTCGGCTAGTAAAGTCAAGTTGTTCTTCGATAGATCCAAGCACTTCAGATTGCGCAATCCATTGAGACCGTCATCACTAATACTTTCCAACCCATTGGAACTGATGTTTAGAATAATCAATGCTCTGAGAGTCCTGAATGATTCTGTCTCAATTGTGTTCATCCCGTTTCGCGATAGATCTAAGGTCTCGAGGGCGGATAGGTTGGTAAACAACCCGGGAAGGTCTCTCAGTTCGTTATCAATCAACGTCAACGAGCGGATCCATTTTGATGTTTCCGCACTCGCATTCATGTGTATCAACTCGCTGCTGCTTATTGTCAGATCGGATAAAAACGGCAACTCTGATTTGAGGTCGGTGATGTCCGAAAGCAACGCTGAGAAAGATTCATCGTCTATATTACTAATTTCTAGCTGTCTCGTAGTGTTTTCGAAGAGACTGGTGATATTGTCTGTGTAGCTATGGCATCTGATACTAGTGTAGCGGAGCGTTGGGTCGTCTGTTGAGTGATAATTACACTGGCATATAGTTGGGCAGGTCTCCTTGCTACCATCGATAAAGAGCGTCAGTATGATCACTAGATACAGCATTTTATCTGTCACATTACTAGGCAAGATTTCTAGCACTTCACACTTTCCCGGATCTACGGATGACGAGAGATTTTCTCGCGATTCGCGTTCAGGCGCATGTTGACTCGATGGCCGCACGCTGTCTACTGATATCTGATAGTCTGCGATGCTGGGGCTTGACGTCGGGACGCCAGGATGTTCTCGTGATGTGCGCGCTTGACTGCGCCATACTGACCCCGATGGGGCGACGGGAGGCAGGATTTTTGTTTTTCTTTGAATTGCGGCCGAGCATGAAGTCAATATGCATTATCGGATTGGGCTGTCTGCTTGGAGTGTTGGAAGTGGCCTGGGATTTCTTTATGATGAAGTGTTCGATAGAGATTTTAAACTTTATTATTTTGTACATTAGTTCGTTTTATGGGTTTATATTTAATTCAACTGAGATTGTGAATGGGCCTATTCAGATGGAATATCAGGTTTTAAAATGACTTGTGAACATTTGGCGAAGATTCTTTGACAAGACATTATCCAAATTTTTTGAATATTCATCAGAATATGTATACATTTCAAATACTGACAATGAAAGGAGGAATCATCATTCCATACTGTAGAAGGTGAGAGATAGGGTCGATTCAATCATAGAAGAACTTCGAATACTTTCGGAGATGTCCTGAAACTCATTCTGCTTCCATCCCAAGTTATTCGCAGAAATTATTCGAAATGGATGACACTTCCCTAGAAATTGGAGTTCTCGTCTTTTAAATCTCACGTCTTCCAGAAACCATCATCAACTTTTTTTCTCCGATTGTGGACCTGTTTCTCTCATTATTTTTTCAATTCTGAATAGTCCAACAGCTTCGAGCTATCACGAATTTCCATTCTCGACAGTTTCGTTAACAAGATTTGACAGTTTCTGTAATATTTGGATGTTCAATGCGATGCTGTTTTGAAGAAATATGATGATTCTCGAACTATTCGATGGTGATAATCTATTTAATAAAAATTCAGGTCCGTATCTGAAAAAATGAGTTGATGATGGTTTCGAGGAGACAAGACATCGGGATACAAGTTCAACAAGGCTAACTTGTAGAGAAGAAAAAGTGGCCATGCTGAAGTGTCATCCATTTCAAAAAACTCTCTCAAAAAACTGAAAAGGAAATGAAGAAGGGATTCAGAAAATTTCGGTGTTTTCAGTGATCTAGAGAACTTGGAATTCCCAAGTTTCAAAACAGCATTTTGTCAGGCATGAAATTGCGCTACTTTGCAATGAATCAACCAATCCTGTTTCTGACACGGTTAACGAGATCCCAATGGTTGAATTTGGAATTCAGACACCTTATAATCATAGATTGAAATCACATAGTACCAAGTGAAGGAAGGTGAATTCATGCAGATGCTGATCGTACATAATCATCTTACATCTTATATTCATTCAAACTATGCCAATGTCATGTAAGATGATAATATATGAAATCATGATAATATGTTCTATCTACTAGAAGGTACAGTTGTTATGCTATATTTCTTTATAGTTGTCTCTTTCGAGACTTTAGATGGAATAACTACATTTTGACAATCCTAGCTTGGTCTCTGAGAATTGGATGCGCAGTAGACCAGTCAGCGTAGTAGAGCGAGAGCTCACTATTGTCGAGAAAATGTACTGATTGAGCAAAGAATTGTCCATAGATACTTCAACATGAGAATAATATGCTCTATAGATACCTCCACGCGAAAGGTTCTTCAGGAATATCTGTTATCATTTCATCACTAACAATACGATTCAGACGGACTCGACAAGTCCTGTCAGCACATTGTTTCGTTGTCAACCATGGAAAATGTAGAACAACACTTCACAAAATATCTTTCGTCTATAGAACGGCGAAGCTTTAGGAACTGTATCCTCGAAGGAGTTTACTCAAGAGCTTATTACCTCCTCTCCTCCCTATAGGTAGGAACGATGGTCTTCAAAAATTATAAGAATTGAGGAAATGAAAAGAAAACAAATACCATACCCTTATTTGAGTATGATTATATTGGTCTAAGCGATTTCAATCGGTGAGGAGATTTACTTCTTTCAAGGAAATGTATTCGGAATCACACCATATACAGGGTGAGTCATAACTACTGGGACATAGGTAGAGGGCTGATTGTTTGGACCAAAATTTTGCGACATGGACAAATATAGGACGATGAAATATTGCTGTGAAAAAAGATACAGGGCGTTTCATTCAATGAAGTATTTTCATAAACTTTTATAAAAATTTGTTTACTCACAAGAAATGTCATTTAGCAGCGTCAATTATCATCATTATCATTATCAATAACATTCCAAAGCACACAGTTGATATTGATAGAACATGGTATTCACTACTGAAATCTGAAAATGAGAATGATAGAGTTAGGATTAATTAATGAAAACATCCTGTAACTCATTTGATTGCCGACGTCACCTATTGTCACTAAGAACTGAAAAGTGTCAGGACAAATACGAATTAGCCATACAATTATAATTATTTTCCTAACAAGTGCGCAAAGTGTTACTTCTCTGCATGCAAATACAGTTAGGCGATCGACGCGGAACGGAGTTCGAGTAAGTTTTTGCCTGCGGAAAAGAAACTTTGCGCACGTGTTAGGAACAACGTTTTTCCTAAGAGTTACATATTAGACAAAGAGGAAAATGAAAAAAACTATAACTTATTGAAAAATGTAACTATACAACAATCACATATAACGATAAAATAAAATAATAGAATATCACATTTTCCCTACTTGCTTTTCATCAGATAACAACAAAAATAAAAAAAAACTCAAATTACAATTTATTGAATAATTTTTAGTTAAATTTGATTGAAATAGCTAAACAACAAACAAATACATATCAATTAAATATAATGATTAAATCAGTTGTTCCTGATATTTATATTGAGGTGGAACACAAATATCGGAAAGAACGGTTGAAAGTTAAAAAGGATAACAGCTTCTTATATTGCATACAATAGTCTACAGCAACTAAAATGTTCAACACCAGTGAGATTTTTGGGTAGTTGTACTTATCTGCACGCCGTGCGGATAATACCTATATCCTCTCTGAGTGCGGAAAAGTATTACTTTGCGCACGCAAATGAGTGCGTAAAAGTAATACTTTGCGCACGCTCGTAGGAAAAATCCATGTTTCATGTTGAAAACGGGAGCAGATTCCATCCCGAAACGTTCAAAGATAAGCAGAATTTTGATATGTTTCATATACCTTCCTTTCTCTTCTCCAAACCTTTTTCGATACAAATTGACACTGACGAGCTAGTGGAATTCATTTTTGGCTGGAAAATTCTTCAAACGCAGTGATATTTTGGGGCAAATCATCTGATCCGTCCTAACTTCACGAATATCAGGATAGCATTCATATATTCATTTTATAGAGACAAGGAGGGGAAATCCCAAAAAATCTGGAATAATGAATGCACCACCTTCTCTATTAACCTACAGACAGTTTTGAATGGTATTATATTCGAAATTTCCTTTCGAGACTTCGAACTGTTTCGATTCTCGAGAACGGATGAAAATAACTTCTATCAACAGGAGAACCAATAGTACGTAGAAATGCTGTTCGTGGCACCCTCTGTATCAAACTGTAGACTAATGCATAACATAATACAAACAACTTGATATAAATTCCTGCCTATTGGAAATCAATAACGAAAAAATTGAACTGTTAACAGAGTTTGAGTATCTGGGTTTTGTGATGGACAACAGTTTATCTTTCGATGCTCATCACACATATGTAACAGAAAAAATAGCAAAGAAACTGTATTTTTTCACAAGAATTTCCACTCACTTGTCTACTGCTACCAAGATCAGGGTATATAACACTATAATACAACCGCATTTTGACTATTGCAGTACCCTGTTGTATGGTTTTGACCAAAACAAAATCAGGTCATTACAAAAATTACAAAATCGAGGCATGATAGTAATCCTGAAATGCAATCGGTATACCAGTAAAGCATTTATGCTTAATACACTACAGTGGTTTTCAGTACAAGACAGGCTTTACAAAGCAGCAATGATATTTGTTTTCAAAACTATTAATGATATGCTGCCATCATATTTTAATGAATTCATTATATTTCGAAATAGTACTCATAATTATGTTACAAGACAGATCAATGATCTTCATTTGCCAAGATGTAGTTTATCTAACTCAATGAAAGTATTATTTTATAAAGGGTCGAATCAATTCAATGAGTTACCTTGATACTGTGCCAATTGTGACAATTGATGTAAATAGTGGGAGAAAAGACGAAAACAAAAATTATTCAACTTCAACGCGCTGAATATTTTTTCACAGCAATATTTCTCTAAGGCATATCGGGTCCTACCTACCCAATAGTTATAACTCACCCTGTATAATCATTCTGAATAATTCGTAGTGAAAAATAATATTTTCTTGAAATGAAAATTCCTTTCCATGTGTTCAAAGACAAGAGTATGAATTCCTGTCATATGATTTTATTATATACTTATCTGGGCAAGAATATCGAGAGTGTGAAAGCACTGCGTTTTTGTTTTCGTTCACATATCCAATGGACACAAAGCCAATATATGCATTGTCGAGCAGAATTTTCTCCAGGATTTTTCCTGAAAGACTGACCGTGCTGTTCCTTTGTGTATAAAATGGGAAACTGTGTTTATGGAGAATAAGGCTATTCCACGGGATATTTTCGAGCGAATTGCAGTTTTGTGTATTTTCCGTACGGATTCCTCGCCTCGAATAAGTTCAGTCCGTTTTCGATTGCAACTTTTTGAGGTTTTTCATTTCCTCACACCAAACTTCATTATGAGGTTCGTCGATTACATAGAAGTTAGAACGTTGGCTGGGCTTCAGGTATAATTGAATTTAATGAACGAAAACTACTACGGGTGATCATTTGGATCGATATAAGATATATCAGGATTTTCATCCTATGATATCATATATCGAAAAATTATCAATAACTCCGCTAAGTTCATGTATTTTTTTTATC